AACTCCCTAAGCCCTGGTATATGCTGGACTGAACTTCATCGCAACTCATCTTTAAGCTTAATGAAGAAGCTACTGCTGTACCCCATTGCATTTATAGTTGCCAAGAGACCCAGAGAAGGAGCTCAGACCATCATATATTGTGCTACTGAAAAGAAATTAGACCAAGTGTCAGGGGCAGTTTTTACTGATTGTGATATGAAGGAGTTTCCACCACATACCAAAGATGATGGAGTCGCTAAGAAACTTTGGGAGCTAAGTGAAACATTAACTCAATAGAACTAAGTGAATACAGAGTGAACTGTCAGGAAATAATGAGCAACTGAAGGAAAAATTGGTTGAAGATGATAATGTGGTCATTTTTTTCATTTCTTATATCGAAGTGTCATTGCTCTGCTTAATTCTTCAAATCAATGAATTCAGAATTCAAGAATATTTGGTTTTATATTTATTATAAATTTTCCCAAGCCAGCTCATGACATCTTTCCCTCCACATAGAATTTCTTACATTTGCCTGTTTCTCAGCAGTTTCATAACATGAACAGAACTTTTTTCTTGTCCATACATGTACCCCTCAAAAAGCAGTTGACATCAATAATTTTGCAAAAGGTTTGAACCCAGGAGTCATTTCATAAGTAGGGTGAGCATGATCGTCCGGGTGAATGTAGTCCTGAATAGGACTGTTGTTGACAGTGACTGACGTTTCAACAACCTGTGTGGTAGTCATTTTCAGAGTACAAGTGAGTTGTATCACGTCAGTTGATAGTATTAAACCAACTGTTGTGATACAACTCACTTTGACTCTAAAGATGACTACCTCACAGGTTGTTAAAACATCAGTCACTGTCAACAACAACAGTCCTATTCAGGACTATGTTCAACTGGACGATCATGCTCAACTTACTAATTAATCATTTTTCCCATTCTTACTGTCTTTCTTTGTCAGTAATTTATCTTTTCATCTTTGCATAGCCGTAAACTCTATAACAAATTTCTTTATGTTCTGCACTGACTACCAAAACAGCTAAGCTGCTGTGCCACTGTCTTTTGTGATTTTGTAATGGTGTGTCAGTGATGCCAGTAATAAAATAATTGCAAATGTCTTCCATATTTTTTTGATGCCACTTGCCATTGTATGTTAGCCAGTCAGAAACAGAGGACAGTGAAAAAAAAAACAGACAATGTACTTAATTGAATGTTTTTATTACTAATAATCTTTGCAACCTGTTATCCCCTGTATTAAAATCAATCACTGGTTCTGGTGCTATCAATCTAAATCTAATTTATTGAAAACAGTAAATGCCTCTTTGTTATAATTTTTTTCCAAAGTTGGTTATAAAAAAATACTTAATAGCACAACCTATGACTGCTTACAAATACCATTATTGATCAATTCTTTTTAAATAATTGGATAAAGAATATGTCTATCATTTACATTTCATGACTACAATAATATTTCAATGTACTGAGTTACACTTGTTGACTTTAACAATACTGTAACATTAAAATTAAATTAAACTTTAAAAAAACATTGACCGTAAAGTCAATATTAGAATATACCCGACAAGTCTGTCTTGTAAAATAACAATAATGAAACTTAAAGCATTGTCAAGTAATTAATAAAGGATAAGGAATGCAATAGTTAATCTGCCATCGTATCAAGGAATAAAAAATAATGACAGTTTTTGTCATCCATTATTACAGTTACAGATGCAAGTCAAACCCAATCAGGGTGCAACAATTGAGATGTCGCATGCACTAGCCAGGTCCCCAGAGTTCTGGGCAAGTATAAAAAACTGTAGCGCACAAAAAAATTCTTTCTACTAACCCTTCTTGTTTGTAACAAAAACAAAACTGTACTACCTCAGATTTACTATTAAAAATATCTCTGGAAAATAAACGAAATGAAAGAAAATTGTCAGTTTAAACGCAATATTTGTATATGTATTACCAATGCCATGCCATGTGAATATCGTGAATTACACTAACTATTTTAGGTTCCTTTGAAGATGAAAATAATAATTACATTCTTCTATTACAGGTACTAATGGCAAGCTACTAAGCATTGCTGGAGGAATGATGAATTGACATTAAACAATTATTGATCACTTTAATAAAAATTCAATCCACTAGGTATGAAATCAAGTGTAATTGACCTAATAAGGTCGGCAAGGTAATATTATATCATATTATACATAATTTAATTAATTATTATGTAATAAAATTTTTAAAAAATTATCAAAAAGGGTCTGCCTGGATCCCTGGGATGTTGGCAAACATTTTGGAACCTAGAAAAGAAAACAAACAAAAGAGGCTAAAAACAGGTGATCTAATAAACATAACTATTATTAAGGATTTTGGCTGAGGCCCCATCCA